GTGCTGGTGCTGGCTGGTGCTGGTGCAGGTGCTGGTGCTGGTGCAGGTGCTGGTGCCAGTGCTGGTGGTCGTCGTCGTGATGGTGGTGAATTCGAGGCATAGTAGCAGTAGCAGCAGGGCAGGTGTAATAGAGCATATCGAGTAGAAGTACAGAAGCAATGCTTAATGCTTGTGAGCAGCACTCTGCTACTGCGAAGTTAATGCAACTTTCATGTGGAATGACGCATACTACACAACGGCCAACCATTCACAACATGATCTTGGGAGCATCGTCTGGGCACTGTAACACGCAAAACGTCATGTCCGCGGGAGTTCCAATGTGTTACAGTACATGCAAACTCGTCCCAAACCTTCCTCGCAACATACAGGAAAGACTGCCTTTGAGCAGAGTACATCATAGTCTGAGGCACACACTGAAGCAGGAGTCCAGGCTAGAATGTTCTAAACCCTGCTGAGATCCAGGTTCCCATGAGAAACTAGCCCTTGCGCGGCCATCGGATATGGGCCTGGCGCGGCATCAAGGCAGGCCCGCGAGGCGTTTCTCCCCTTGGCTGAAGTCGGGTCCGGAGTGCTGCTGTGTGACTTTGAAGCAGCGGTGTTCTTTGTTCGGTTGGCAAGTGTCTTGGTGCCGCCAAGGGGCCGCTCTGCTGATGCCAGAATTCGGTGTGGAAAACCCTACTGCCCTGATGTCTAAGACCGTGTCTTCGGGTCACATGCGGGATGTCTTCAGTGCTTAGAACCGAGACTTGTGAAAGGATTTGGTCTGGGCTTGTACAAGACGGCATCTCTGTCGTGGCTTGCTGGGTGTAGCAGTGCATGAAACATTACTTACAAAGCTCGTTCCATTGACACATTGGCACTGGCCTAGTCAAGCATGTCGAGCACCCTGTTGGCCAGTTGTTCTGCGCGGCAGGCAAGGTCATGAAGCTGTGGAGATCACGGAGCCTTTCACAGCAGCCTTCGTTGCACCACAGCCTTTTATCGTTTACGCTATCTGTCCAACTACTTGTGTTCATGCCGTCGTGTCCTGGACCTCGACTTTTGCTGCATGTCTGATAAAGTCAAGAGCAAGCCGCAAGCGAAGGAAGGCATGTAAGTAATTGCATGTCGCTGAATGCTCCTTGTGCTCGAGCCAAGCCGAGCTACATAGCACACAACCTGTTTCTCCGAGCGCGCCCATCACGCTGGGCCGCTGTACCACCCGTACCACTCTGCAAAGCATAAAGGCAGGAGCAGATGCCCGCCCACAGCGCTGCAATGTGTCGCAGGCAAAGCCCGTGGCTCATTCCGTACCATCCTCCTGCGGCAACGTTCGAAGGCAATCGGCAATCCCCGTGAGTAGCAGGAACAGCTTCAAGAATCGTGTCCTTTGACAGAGGCGTTTTGGTGCACACCAGTGTGTAGGTGGTTCCAAAATGCGCACGCTCATCCTTGGTCCAACAAACATCTCAGAAAGCCGAAGCTGAGCAGCATCTGAGACCATCGCCAAAGCGATGTGAAGCCCAGCTTCCTTTACAAGCTTGGCGATGTCACGATTTGCATAACACCTGCGGCCATGTGCCTACCCGTTCAGCTGCTATGAAACAAACATGACTCTAGCTCTTGGTCAAAGTCGCACAGACACAAGCGAAAATTTTGCCAACGACTGGCAATCAAGGAGCAGAAGGCTGCAGTAAGAGCCGGGCCCATACCGTTCTACGTGTCGGTGTATGCCGCGATTCAGCATACTCTGAACGAACTCCCTGGCACATACAGTACAACGCATTCGCAACTGGCTGTGTCCGAGCAGCGCCTCCAGCCCTTGGAAACATTTCTCTGAGATGCGCCGATCTAGAAAATCTTCCAAAGACTGGGAGGTCTTAAGTGCGAAATCCTAGGCATCAGCCCAAGCCGCCCAAGTTGGGCAAGGACAAGACAAGTCGATCCGCGAAACGCAATCCGCGTTCTGCATGCCTGGAACGGCATCTGTAAATGCTGTACAAGAAGGGGTATGAGGCTCGGCAAGCAAGTACCAGCACGAGCAGAAGTGCTTAGTGTGGGTTTTCGGGTGATGACCATGCTCTACGAACATGTCAGGTCAGCCGCCATCATGTGCAGCAATATTAAATCAACACCAATGCCAGACATGATGAATTGTTTGGAACTTGGGAGCCTATGCAGTTGAAGAGTACGCAAAATAAGCGCGAAAGGTTCAGTAATTTCAGTTATCACCTAGGTACGTAATAGACTTAGCACAGCTACAGACGCTACATGAGATGGTGTTTCTGGTGAGAGAACGATTTGATCCGCACTTCGACTGCCACTACCATCGCTGTCGAGCCTCTCAGGTGCAGAGTCAGCCCCGTCGCTGCGCTATTCCCGCAGCTAAGAAAGCCGTCTCTGCAACCGAAGAGATATCAAAATCAAAACTTTAGCAGAAGCCATCCCGAAGCACCGTCGAAGCTGTCGCTCGCATCATGCTTCTGGCATCTCCTGGCCACCGCCTCGGATTTTTTGGAGCCAGGCGAGTTGAAAGCGTTTGCTATTCAGCCTGTGCAGCCAGACCCCCTCTGATAATTAACGTGCAGCGTGCAAGCTCTGCCAAGAGTCCACGGGGGTTTCTGTGTTCGTCCTTTTCATGTTGCTGGCGGAGCAAGCAATCTCTGCGAGTGAAGAGCATGCACCATGCAAGGGGCATCCTTTGGATGCAGGCCCGTGAAGTGGAGAGCTTTTCCGAAAGCATGGCGAAGCTCAATGCTTGTCTTTCGAATCGGGTGTGAGGTGGCTCTAAGACTTTACGAGGCTTTCCACGTCACAGGCCGTGCTCACAGCTACGATCACTCCTGCTGCTCAGAAAATTGCACTCTGCCTGTCCGATTGGGTTGGCAACGTGGACAGTGCCAGATAGCGAGTACAGTGCTGTACAGTGACTGCATCAGGCAGGTGAAGTAGAGCATCCAACACCTCTGCTTTCCAGTATTAGCTGCAGCGCAGCTACATTCTTCGCACACTGATGTTTAGCACTTGGTTGGTCTGTCTGGTGCTGTATCCTGTTTAAACAGCAGGCATGAGTTACGCTCTTTTTCACATGCAATGTCCTGCCTCTCTTTACAGCTGGTTCGTGCAGGTCTCCTGGAACAGGCAGAAGCCCGAACCTGTGCTGTGAATCGTGCTTTGCAAAAACGTTTAGGGAAGGGACAAATGGGACCAGTTTGCCACACTTTGCCAATCACGCACCGTGCTCACGTCGCATGGGTAACCCATGTCATGTTATTGTAAGTTGTAAGTGCCAAGCTGTTGCAAGCAAATTTGTCATCGAAGGACTCGATCTTGGGAATCCTTGAAAAGCCGAACTGTGGCGTTCTGCAGGGAGCAGGCACTGAACCACGGCATGCCGCATTGTTCCGGCAAGCACCTGTTGAGCTGTCGGCGGCGGCGGGCTTTGAGCCTCACCTTCCGTGCTGGCCTCGGTCGAACTATTCCGGCACCATCCCTTCAGAACCTGGAGGTACCTGGAGTTGACGCGGGACTTTCGAAGTCCTCGGTGCCTGACCGAATCCGTTTTGGTTGACGCCGTTGTGACTGAAGACTTCGAGGTCGTCAGGAGAGCTTGCCTCAGCATCAGAATTCACAGAAAGCCTTCGAACTTCGAGGTGTCAAAAGGCCGGGACATAGCATTGACCGGCTTGCACAGTGTATGCGACAAGTCTCGGCAAGAAGCGCCTCAGTGCCCAGGATGCCAAGGGCTCACAGCTGTGGGAGCTGTTTGGGCGTCACACCGAGGACATGAAGCAAAGCACCACGCAGGGCGACCTCCAGCTTGCAGCGCTATCTGCGAGAAGAGAAAACATACCCTGGGGGGCCCTGGAGCCTCGTCGCAATCCCAGCGTCGCAAGCGACTAACAAGTCGTGCATCGATGGCGGAAAGACCTTGAATGCACATGCCAAAGACCCCGTGAGAACCAAAACTGCAGGAAGACATAGACTCTGCAATTGGGCCAAAGCCGTAGAACGCCCCTGCCATCTGGCCGCAAATTGCACCTCTAGCACACTTCGGTCTTCTGATGCATGTCTTTTCATTTTCAAATCCCTGCCGAGGGGATTGAACTAGAATGTGTCAATTCCATTTGCTGCTACTTGGTAGCATCTCCTCTGCTCCGTCCCCGTCGCAGGCATGAATTGAAGCCTTGAAGCCCCCTTCACAATTTCGCTCCTTGCCTGTCGAGTCCGCGTCGCCCAAGAAATTCACACACCGTGTTAACGCCTCCGGCAGGCAATGCACCGACTTGCAAGACTCCGGGTGTACTGCACGGAACTCGACGACCGAGTCGTTCGAAACCGAATCAAAAAAGTGCTCATGGCCGGCATGTGGCCTCCATAAAGGAGGCGGTGTGATAGAAACTGTGCATTGCAATGGCCAGACCTGCGAAGCCAGTACAGATCACGCAAACAGCAGCCAAGGAGCAATGAAACGTGCAGAAGTGCATTCTTCTCAAACGTCCGAAGAAAAATGCCATGGAGGCGTCATCTGAGTGCAAACATATCATAAGCACGAAGAGTGGCCATCCAAGCTGTAGGCACCCACGTAATTTGGGCTCACCTTAACAGCAAGAGCAAAGAGACGGAAACATCGACTCGTTCCATCGGAGCTGAGTCACGGGGTAACCGTTGTAGCTGGAGCCTCTCGCCTCGAGAGTCTCCTTCAGAAAAGGACCCTCGGCATCCTCGGCGTATTTCTGCAGACAGGACTTCAGAACGCTGCTTTTGCGTCGTGTCTGGGCTTGTCGCCCGCCAGTTCCAGCATCGCTCTCGGCTGCCCTGCACCCAATGCCCCTTTTCTAAGGGGCAGCTTAGAGTGACTTAGAATCAGACTGCCGAATATGGCAAGGGGATATCACTGCTTCACTTCGAGCAACTCCGGAGTTCGCCTCCGGCTCTGCCGAGTGAAGCAGGCGGACCTGGTCTCCAACACATGACGGCAGATCTGCGGCCTACATCGTCACATCTTTTCATTTCCGCAGGAGGCCAGGCTTCAAACGAGCTTTCTGTGCGGTGCCGAAGGCCATTCCCAGCGCAAGTAGTCCTGGCACGTGACCGCCAGGGGCAAACTAGGAATCGGAGGCTGCGGCTTAGCACTCGATCCGTTCATGCATGCCGAAGCGCAATGTACCAGAACGGTTTTGTTATGGCATAAGTTTAGAAGTCAATACTACCTCATGTGCCAAAATGGTAGCTTCTTGGCTGTCATCCAAACGAGCACAGAAGCCCGCCTCAACTGTATCATCCAGGAACGCTGCTGCTGTCTCGGTGGCTGCACCTGTCACAAATTCTGAACCCCAGGTTCCCACGACAGTCCTGCGTCTACAAGCCGCATGCTTTGGGCGGCCGTCTTAAGACTGTGAAGCAAAAGAAGGAAGCGAGCCCCCGGCGGTCTCTGTTGATGGCTCGCGCGAGAAAGAACCTCCCAGACACGAAGCGGAAGGCGTGAATGATGTGCAGTTGCTGCTGTTGCAGAAAGCAAACAACTGTTGCTAAGGGGCCCCAGGAAGTGGCAAGCAGCCGCAGCTACTGCACCAGGGTGCGTTGTTCGAGAGGACTCTTCACCTCAGGCCGACTGACCCCAGGCAGCCAGGGACATGCGCAGCTCACGCTCCTGTGTGAGGCTGGCACTCATCTCTGCAGCCTGATATTAGCCACAGAAATCCCAAGCTTCAGAAGCATCTTGTAAGCTACCTGGACCAAACACCTGCATAGCCAAATGCAACGCCTGGGCTTCGCTCCTGCCTTCTCAGGGTCGGCACTGAAAAAAATTGGCACTGGCGCGAGGCCTCGTTCCGTCCATGAGATACTGCAAGGGTTTCACGAAGGTGGATCTGGGTATCGTACGCAGATGCATTCCAGACCATGTGAATGCCCAAACTCTGTCAAAGTCAGCACAATCTCCTGATTCTATTACTATCACTGATACTAGTGTAAGAGTACTAGTTCTAGTGCTGGTGCTAGTGCTAATGGTAGTAGGAGTAGGAGGAGGAGTAGTAGTAGTAGTAGTAGTAGTTTTTGTTGTAGTTGCAGCAGCCGCAGCAGCAGCTGCAGTAGGAGTACTAGTAGTAGTAGTAGTAGTAGTAGTAGTAGTAGCAGTAGCAGTAGCAGTAGCAGTAGCAGTAGCAGTAGCAGTAGCAGTAGCAGTAGCAGTAGCAGTAGCAGGAGGAGGAGTAGTAGTAGTAGTAGCAGCAGCAGCAGCAGCAGAAGTAGTAGTAATAGCAGCAGTAGTAGTCGTCGTCGTCGTCCATCGGTGGATCTAGATCACCCCATTCACGCTTCAGAT